TACTTATTATAGATAAGTATAATTTATAAGTAAGTATTATAAATAAGTAAATATTACTTAATTTAGATAACTAATTGAATCTAGCGTTTAGGTCTAGCGGGTAGTGCCTCTTCAGCCTGCGAATCTGGTCCGTCGTATCAAGTAGTCCAGTGATTAGGGGGTTTCGGTGTTTGTTGACTCTTTTGCTGTATCTGTCGCTATATTGTGCTATTTCCTCTTTGACTGTGGGTATTTTGAGGTCGCGGTGTATTGTTTCGTTGGTTACGTACCAAGGTGCATCAATTAGGGATCTTAGCGTTTTCGATTGGAAGCGCTGAATTATTTCAGTGTTGGAGTTACTTGCTGTTCCCCATAGTTGGATTCCGTAGGTCCAGACAGGTTTTATTACGGTCTTGTAGAGGCTAATTTTGTTCTGCGTGCTTAGGTTGGAGCGTCGGACAGCGAGCCAAGAGAATTTCTTGAGTTTGTCCTTGAGTTGCTTCGTTTTGTCTGTGATGTGATTTTTCCAAGTTAGCCTCCTGTCCAGGGTCATGCCCAGGTATTTGACTGAGTCCTTGTTAGGAATTATTGTGTTGTTAATGGTGACCTGGGGGCAGGTTTGGTATCCTAGGTATTTGACTTGCCTTGCTTGTATTATGTGCGTGCCGTTCAGTATAATGTTTGGTGGTAATTGAAAAGAGTAATGGAAAAATGCATGTACAGACTGTGACGTTCTTTAAAGATATTCATGGTGGTAACGATCAAATCGTGGGCTGAGAGCTTGCTCGTGGAATCGTATTCGTAATATTTGATCCTCGTCTTGTCCGGTCCGTGTCATACTATTAAAATCCATCGAAAGATCGTCAGCCTATAAAAACATAGACAAAATATGGAACAAACGATTCGATATCACGGAACATGTCCGCGATTCTTTCTTCTTCGACTCGTAAGAATCTATTACGGTTCCGCTGAACGAAATAAGGAGACAGAGTTTTATTCCGGTGAAAAGAGCATTGATTTGGCGATGTAAAGTCTCACAACGTAAAATCGGGCAACTCGATCAACGGGCGTCGTAATACGAATCGAAACACGATCAATCGAGAATTTATTGAGCTTTTGCGAAAGGCGAAGAGGCGAAGAGACGAAGAGGCGAAGAGGCGAAGCGACGAAGTAAAGAGAAAGAGAGGGGCAGGACTCTTTGCCATCATTGTTCCAGGTGGTTCCTTTCATCGTGCTCGTTGGCAGGCTCTAATGGCAGTAGTAATTAACCGTTTGATTTAGCGTAAACGAGAGAAAAAGCTGTGGGCGGAAAAAAGGGGCAAATGTATTTACCAGTGTAAAAGCCGGTGCAGGTTAAAGCTATCATTGGAATCGAGTCTGTTGCGACGAGTCACGATCTCTTGAAAATTAATCTCGCGGCTCAAAGGAACGCCAAAATTAATTAATCACGGCAAAAGCGACCGCGCCCGAAAAAAAGAAAATAACAATCGGAAAAAAACATCCGCCATAAGCGAGCAGCTTTTCACGAGTCCGTTGAAAAAGCCATAGAGACGTTCCTGTCCGCTCTGATCGATCTTGATAAACAAGTATCGCTACTCTTTATAACAAGTATCGCATCGCGAATGTAAAATTTGATAGACGAAGGAAAAGCGAGAACTTACGTATTTGCTGTGACGTGTATGGATAAATCTGTTTCATCCCTCTCGGTCTGTTGCAGATCCAATATACCCAATATCGTACAAATACTGAAAACAGAGTGGAAAAGTTAAACTCAAAGTCAAACAGAGCGGAAAGTTTCGAAACTTACGGAATATTAAAGGGAACATGGTTAACCCAAATGCACAGTACATTAGATGAACCTAATTTTTACACGGTGTACGGAGAGTATTTACCGTTGGACCGCGCTCGCCGACAAAATTACTTACGTTGTGCCGAAGATTCGCCAAACTTCACATCCACCGCACCAAGATAGCACGAAAATATATAAAAATAGAAAAGTCGGACGAGTAAAGTTGCGAGGACGCGAAGCACTTTCGAAACGGGTAAAAGTTTTTCTAAATTTAATCAGCTGGAAGCTAACTGAAATGCTTCTCGTGAAAGATTCAACGACTCGTTCGACCACTGCGTCAACGGGTAATGTCTTTCAAGACGGTTAAGGAAGATATTTTTCACAGTGTGACGGAAATTCAATTGGCCGGCCGAAAGCGGCCAATGAATGATGAATAAATAACAGTATTTCGTATTTATTGCGTGCACACTCCACTTTCACAAGTACGAAAGCATCGCTGTTTCGTTAGAAACGTTCAACGATTATTTACAGCATTCGGGGAATCCGCACGTTCGATATCGCCTTAAAAATCACAGCGACTACGTACGTACTTAAAATTTAATCGTTCTCACGTCGTTTCATTTTCAGCAGACTTGTTCAGCTTCCACAGTTTAACAACACTTAGTGGTTTATTATTTCATCTGGCATCTCTTCCCAACAACTTTTGCTTTCTAATGGACGTGTTGTCCTGTATAAACAAAAACCTTCAACCGATTAATCGTTTCCCCGATAGTCTCAGGCAATTATCGCGTTTTATACGAATCAAACGGGCTTTCGAACGACTAAACAAATCGATGAAAACAAACGCCTAACGTTTGATCTCGAAAATATTCCGCAAAATATCATCGCCAGGATTTTCAGCGCGATACCCAAAACATTTTACCGTAGCTCGTAACGATTTACAGAGAGGCGAAACGAGCGAGTGAGCTCGTGGAAATGAAAAAAGAAGAGGAAAGAAAAATTATAAACTGTCGCAAACTTGTAACCACGATGCGGTCGTAACTAGCTTTTGAATATCCTTATTTAATAGTATACGGACAACTTGTTCGACTAAACGACAAAACGTGTCGGTGAAACGATGAATTGCGACAACAATGTGACTACAGCCGGAACAACGATGCGATAAAACGAACGAGTAATAACGAAAGTAAGCAAAATATCACGTCCGTTGCCGGACTTTCGTGTACGCGATTCTCTGTCAAACAGTTATAAATGCGTTTTAAATGCATGAGTTTTTGAATGCGAACAAAACGACCGCTCGCAAGTAGCAGGTAGCTGCCTCTCGTTTAACCGATTCGATATAGTTTCATCCCACTACAGAAGTTTTAAGAGGCTTAAAAGAATGGGCCCGACCAAACGACAACGAGGGAATATAAAAATATGACATATTTTGTAATTGCAGAAAAATTTTAAAAAAGTTTGTATTTAAAAAGGATGTGAGAAAAAGAAAAAAGAAACGGCGCTGAAATTTTGAAATTTATCGCGATTAACGCAACTTGATTTTATTTATATCACGAAAGCACAACAAATGGTGAAATTTATTCGCTGAAAATTCCACTATTTCTGGACTTTAAGCGTTGCCATTAAAAATACCGATTACCCAAAACGGGGTAATCATCACAGAACTTTGCGAACGAAAATGCGAGTACCGTTAACCACGGACATACTGGTAAAATAGTGGAAACCACGAAAGGAGAAATTGGAAAAGAAATTGGCACGTTCGGAAAAAGTGTAACGTTTAAAAATCTAACGTTTTGCTGTATCTTTAGCGGACGTGTTTGGTAGCCATTCGCCTTGCCTGTGAACGGCATGGAACTGAAACGGCTAATAAATTGCGCGCGAGTGCAGACTAACGACCGCCGTTAGAATTTCAATCGATGGAAGTAGAAAACTCAATGAAACTACCAAGGAACAACGGAAAACTATTATCGCGATGGTAGAGTAAGTTACTACTACAGGGCGTTCGAGCTTTTTGCGCCGCTTTTAACCGGTATTACGTTATTCCGAAGAAGCGACACGATGCGTAATTCCCGGGCATAAGGCAACTTGACAATTCCAAAGGAATAATCCGCGCACCTATAAACCTTTATTTCCCACTTTTTACCATCCACATTTACGACAAGAGGAGCTTCGACGAGGTAATGGTTTGTTTTATGGCGACGAGCTTGCGATATTTCATCGAGGCTGCTAAATACCGGGTCATTTTCCTCGATCTCCTAGAACGAAAATTTATTCTATTCTATACATCGTTATTATACATATCGGTCGCTTTTAATTTTTAAAACGCGCGGCTTTTAAATTCAATTCATTCTTGTCGATCTTAACTTGTGGGTCTTGTTCGAAAAAACAGTGCATCTTTTTTCTTTCTTTTCCTCTTTCTTTTTTCTATGCCGCATTTTCATGCATGCAAATTGCCAGGATCGACGAATCATATCTCGATTGTATCGTTTAGCGATGGGGACACGAGCGGATTGAAAGAACGTCGAACGGACGGGAGAAAACGTGTTGGAAGGAAGATCGCATGACGAATGTTTTAGAAATTTCAGTGTGACTTGGTTACGGTCACTAACAAATAATCCGATTACCCAAAACGGGGTAATCATCACAGAACTTTGCGAACGAAAATGCGAGTACCGTTAACCACGGACATACTGGTAAAATAGTGGAAACCACGAAAGGAGAAATTGGAAAAGAAATTGGCACGTTCGGAAAAAGTGTAACGTTTAAAAATCTAACGTTTTGCTGTATCTTTAGCGGACGTGTTTGGTAGCCATTCGCCTTGCCTGTGAACGGCATGGAACTGAAACGGCTAATAAATTGCGCGCGAGTGCAGACTAACGACCGCCGTTAGAATTTCAATCGATGGAAGTAGAAAACTCAATGAAACTACCAAGGAACAACGGAAAACTATTATCGCGATGGTAGAGTAAGTTACTACTACAGGGCGTTCGAGCTTTTTGCGCCGCTTTTAACCGGTATTACGTTATTCCGAAGAAGCGACACGATGCGTAATTCCCGGGCATAAGGCAACTTGACAATTCCAAAGGAATAATCCGCGCACCTATAAACCTTTATTTCCCACTTTTTACCATCCACATTTACGACAAGAGGAGCTTCGACGAGGTAATGGTTTGTTTTATGGCGACGAGCTTGCGATATTTCATCGAGGCTGCTAAATACCGGGTCATTTTCCTCGATCTCCTAGAACGAAAATTTATTCTATTCTATACATCGTTATTATACATATCGGTCGCTTTTAATTTTTAAAACGCGCGGCTTTTAAATTCAATTCATTCTTGTCGATCTTAACTTGTGGGTCTTGTTCGAAAAAACAGTGCATCTTTTTTCTTTCTTTTCCTCTTTCTTTTTTCTATGCCGCATTTTCATGCATGCAAATTGCCAGGATCGACGAATCATATCTCGATTGTATCGTTTAGCGATGGGGACACGAGCGGATTGAAAGAACGTCGAACGGACGGGAGAAAACGTGTTGGAAGGAAGATCGCATGACGAATGTTTTAGAAATTTCAGTGTGACTTGGTTACGGTCACTAACAAATAATCTTTTTTTTTTTTTATTTATTTGTTGAAATTACAATCAATTCTCGCGTTGAGAATTTTCAGTAATTTTTCTGGCGTGGCGCAGTGACATGGCTGATTATTTATAATAAGTTAATACTTATTATAGATAAGTATAATTTATAAGTATTATAAGTAAGTGCATATGCTTAATTTGGATAACTAAATGAATCTAGCGTTTAGGTCTAGCGGGTAGTGCCTCTTCAACCTGCGAATCTGGTCCGTCGTATCAAGTAGTTCAGTGATTAGGGGGTTTCGATGTTTGTTGACTCTTTTGCTATATCTGTCGCTATATTTTGCTATTTCCTCTTTGACTGTGGGTATCTTGAGGTCGCGATGGATGGTTTACTGACAAATAATCGTGTTGGAAAAATGCACACTTTACGGTATTCTGTTTGCGAGAGATCGTCAGCTGTGCCTTACTCGTGCATTATCCTCTTGCGGGGCAAAACGTAACTCGTCGTTCCGCGTAAAAATAATCTTGTTACGTGTAAAGATCCTAAGCAGGTTATATTACAACGACCTGAATATTTTATTAATATGACGCTTAAAGTGGCAGCGATTTCCCTTAATATTTCAAGCAACGCTACTGCGAAGTTAAAAATACCAAACTTAATCGAAGATACATTTTTTTTTATTTTTATTTAAAATTTCACATTCACAATTTGCCCAATTTGGACATTTGGTAGAATTTTCTATCTGTTTGATTATCATGTGCGTGGCTACCCCCAGTGGGGTACCATCTTCGTGTTTGTTAAGATATATCCTTTGTGAGATCTGCTGGGTGTTTCCTTTTTTGTCTTCTTTCTATGCTTGATGTGTTGATCGTTTCCGCTGCCAGCCGGTCCGGGTGCGTTGCTATTTTTTCTCTGTACCTTCTTGCGAACTACTATATCAATAAGCTATAATATTTTACCAAATGTCCTACTGGACAAATTATAAAATGTAAATAAATAAATAAATAAAAAAAAAGCTTCTTGCGAATCTGCTAATGTCGAAGATACATGGCAACATTTTCACGTTCGATAATGATTTGTTCCTGCTAAATGACATTAAAATCAGAAAATCGTCAAAAATATAGCAAACTTTATTATTCGAAACGAACGGAGCAACATTCTCTCCGCTAATATCGATCAGAATCTTATTCGAGATGATGAGACTCGGTGAAGCGCAAGATGTAACTGGAATCGTTTAACCTTGGTCGACACAGCAGGGCCATGTAAGAACAAACAATTTGCGCAAACGATTCGATAGCCGCATGTACACGGCCAATTTGTCGCGTATCTTCAAACGACACGTAGATGCGCGTTTCGCGAGCGACACCGTTTCAGGTGTAAAGGCAGGAAAAATTAAAAAATTCAAGCACACACACAAAGCGTTTCGTCCTCGTATCCTCGTTTCTCGCGCGAATGTTTCATCCTAGCCCGGAAGCGAGGATATCGACGATGATGTGTACGGCACAGAGCAAACAGTCAGCGTTAGCGAGTTAAGCTTGCTCTCCTTCTAGATAGAAACGAACATTTGCCATCTGCGAGGCATTATTCTCCGCGGACACGGGCGAAAAGATACGGAAGATTTAGCACGCGCCGAAGAATCGTTGGAAAAAAAGCAAAAGAAAACGAGATAAATTAAGCACATAAATTCCGATATAGCCATTTATAATCCCGTAAAACCAAAGTGAAAAGTTTTATTTTACGTATTTCTAAGATGAAGCCAAATTTCAATTGGAAATCAAATTCGCCTCTGTAAAGACAATATATCTTGGATCGTGCAGATACAGAATCGAAGACGGCCGATGGTTTGTGGGAAAGTCGGAGAACGTACGAACGATTGTAGCCGGAAGACTAGAAATGAGATACGATTCTAGAAAGCCACTGTTCGTAAACTACGATACATCGAATTTTCTCTGTCTATAATCTCGCGAAGCGAAAAACACATCGAGAGATACTTTGTCTATTCGTAAGATTGGAAACTTTAACGGAGAAGGAGGGTTTTCGATCTACCTACAGGATCCAGCGATAATTGCAAATTAACCGTCGCTAGCCCCGTTCCATTATGATCCAGGGTGACGCAAGTGTACAGTTGGTAGGCGGCGTCTGGCGAAAAATCTGTCGGAGGCAATTTTCAGCCAACGACCGTCGTTTCGAAGGATTGGATGTTGGGAACTGGCCGGAAATCAATGGCGGAGACAAACGTCCGAAGCGGCGAATTCGATTTTCGAGACACGGTCGTCGTCCGGCAACGTCTGGTGGTTAACCGTGTCGGCGAAACACGTTCGTAGACTGGCCGTACGTGCACACAGGGATACCGATATAGCTAACGGAACGACTGACGGTGAACGAGCACGGCCGGAATTAGCGGAGGAGGTAATCAGATTTGCGAGAGAGCGATGGGCTTGGCGTTCCATCAGCGTTTACAACGTTTCTCTCTCTCTTCTTCCTTCTGCCATACAGCCACGCTCCTTCCTCCGTTGCTACACTCTATTTCCCTCAATATTCGCGTACAACGTACTTGTACATGCTTACGCGCGAGCACCGAGCACGACAATGACCACCTTTGCACCGTCGTCGCAGATTTTACACTCTAGCCTCGCCATATTGCCCGTTCGATCAAAGCCTGAGAGACGAGCACACGGCATCGAGACAGACAAGCGCAGAGGCTGAAGTCTGTTCGTAGCGGTGCAACGTTAATAACGCGCTTGGATGCATCATCGCCACCGATGTCAATCAGCTCTTTCCACCGCTAACCTTGTTCCCGGTTTCTTCGACGACCAACACCACCGTAAAAGGGCAGTCTGTCTCTTTGCAGCTGCTCCATCGACCAACGCGTTTGCTTTTGCCTCCTATTTACTTTAGCGTTTTTAATCTTACTTTAGACGTTTGATTTCACGCGGAATAATTCCAAGGATTATGTATTACGGGTAAATTACCTTGTTCCGCTTCGGAGATGACGGTATTCTTTCTGTCGGAAACGGTGCTTCGCCGTGTGAAATAAAATTTAGTCCATCTCCGACTGTTCACCTCTTCGACAGTTTACCACGGTAACCCTTTTTTTATCGATCCATGCAGCCAACCACTGCCTGACATCCGAGTAAAAGTCAATTTCTTTGCTCGATTTCATTTTTATATTTACTTTTATTTATTTATTTATTTAGTCTTAGTCCGTGCCTTTCGGCTTTGGACGACTTTCGATTTACATCTCTTATAATGCTCTTACATCACATCTGTTTCTCTTACTCTAGCACTTTTATTATGATTTACTGCTTATATCTATCTATTGCACCTTGCTTGCTCTATCTCTAATAACTAACTACCAACTTATATCTAACGCGATTTCATTTTTATATCGTACGATCTCGAACAGACGATGCTTTGTTCGTAAACACGGCAATCAAAGAAAAAGAAAAGTATCGTTTCACATGCTCGTTTAATTCGCACGACCGATCAAGTATTTAATGAACAACAATTTAAGCGAGCGGCATTGTCGTCCCTCTGCTACCTACCATGAAATTATCCCACGAGGCTAAGAAATTTTGTTCGACGTAAAGAATTTATCAAATAATCGGTCGATGCCACGAAAAGTCGAGCAATAACTTTTCAAGCAAAAACTTCGTTTCCCTCGTCAGCAGCGAAACGCCTGGTCAGAAAAGCGTCTTACATGATTTCTGCCTCTTAGAACCGAGGCGTTTCTGATAATTCATGCCCACGAAAATTAGTCTAAGACGCTCGAAATACTCGATAATAACTAGAGCGAAACGTTGAAACGCGTAAACGAATATGCCGATGCAAGCTCGTTCTTCTCCTTCTTCCTTCGAGAGATCTTTTTTTTTCTTGTTTTATTTTATTTATTAAAATTACAATCAATTCTCGCGTTGAGAATTTTCAGTAATTTTTCTGGCGTGGCACAGTGACATGGCTGATTACTTGTAATAAGTTAATACGTATTATAGATAAGTATAATTTATAAGTAAGTATTATAAATAAGTAAATATTACTTAATTTAGATAACTAATTGAATCTAGCGTTTAGGCCTAGCGGGTAGTGCCTCTTCAGCCTGCGAATCTGGTCCGTCGTATCAAGTAGTCCAGGGATTAGGGGTTTCGGTGTTTGTTGACTCTTTTGCTATATCTGTCGCTATATTGTGCTATTTCCTCTTTGACTGTGGGTATCTTGAGGTCGCGGTGTATTGTTTCGTTGGTTACGTACCAAGCTGCATCAATTAGGGATCTTAGCGTTTTCGATTGGAAGCGCTGAAGTATTTCAATGTTGGAGTTACTTGCTGTTCCCCATAGTTGGATTCCGTAGGTCCAGACAGGTTTTATTACGGTCTTGTAGAGGCTATTTTTGTTCTGCGTGCTTAGGTTGGAGCGTCGACCAGTGAGCCAATAGAATTTCATGAGTTTGTCCTTGAGTTGCTTCGTTTTGTTTGTGATGTGATTTTTCCAAGTTAGCCCCCTTGTCCAGGGTCATGCCCAGGTATTTGACTGAGTCCTTGTTAGGAATTATTGTGTTGTTAATGGTGACCTGGGGGCAGGTTTGTTTTCGGAGCGTGAAGGTTACATCAGGTTTGTTTGCGGAGCGTGAAGGTTACATGTGTGGATTTTTTTTCGTTGATTTTGAAGCCCCATTTATGAAACCACTTTTCTATGCAGTCGAGACATCGCTGGAGAGTGGATCAGGCAATTACCGGACCTGCGTGGGCAGCTAATAGCGCTGTGTCGTCAAGGCAATTACCGGGTCTGCGTGGGTAGCTAATAGCGCTGTGTCGTCAGCAAATGTTGCTATTGTTATCTCGTTTGATATAGGTAAGTCGGCAGTGTAGATGGAGTACAGTAGGGGTCCGGGGACACTACCTTGGGGTATGCCGAATTCTATTGGGAATGTTGCGGAAATGGTGTCTAGGCATTTAACCATGAATTGTCTATTGGTTAGGTAGGATTTTAGGATGGAGTAGTAGGGGTGAGGTAGGATCTTTTTAAGCTTGTATAGTAGCCCTTCATTCCATGCTTTGTCGAATGCCTGTTGGATGTATAGGAAAACCGCTGAGCAATATTTTTTCTTTTCAAGGGTTTGGCTGATCGTATGAGTTAAGCGGTGGATTTGCTCTACTGTTGAATGTTGTTTTCGAAAGCCGAATTTGTGATCTGGGAGTGTTTTCAAGTCCCCTAGGAGTGGAAGGAGTCGATTCGTGAGCATCTTCTCGAATAGTTTAGACAAGGTAGGTAAAAGACTGATTGGGCGATAGGAGCTAGTTTCATATATCGGTTTACCGGGGTCCTTCGAGAAATAAAAAATAAATTGGTATGAAAGTATCGCGGTTTATCGGTCGGCCGATTCGTTTGAAATTCGTTGATGGCGCGACACACGCCGTATTTACGTCGTATTTCACGATCTTACTCGTCGAGCGAAAAAAAGGATTTCGTCGAAGCTCCCTTTTATCAAAAGCAACGCCTTCTTTCCTTTTACTTATTCCGACGTGACTTACTACGAACGTAAATTGTCGTATTTATCTCGCAAGTGAACGCTTCTATAGAAAAGTAGTTACTTTAGTGGAGATTAGTCCAAGAAACTCGTCCCGTTCGGCTTCTAATTCCAACAGTTAGCGCTTTAACTTCAATATTCCAAAGAAACGAAACGTTGCTTGAATTCGCCAACGCTGTCATCGGATCGAACGTCGCGCATCCTCCTTATCCCAACTTGGTTTGCTTTAAAAGCTTTTCTTGAGCTAATAAAGCTGCTGAATTTGGTGGATTCGAGCAAACTGAACAAACGCGAAAGGGAACATTCGTTTGCCGATTAATCGGTGCAATTAATTATTCGTCAAAACGCATTTAAATTCTCGCGCTTCTTTTTATCATTCAATTCGTTAAATTATTCAATTCGATCCATATTCACTGCCCAACTATCTGCGACCTAACCGCAGTCTCCAACGTTTACGCTGCATACGAATTTCAGCAAAGATTAAACAGACGAGTCGCGTTACAGGAGAGGAAAGAAAAAGAGGCGTTGCGTTCCGTTGTTATTTCGGTTTCCACGTTTCGTAGTACGTCGTGTCGATTTATCGAATGGTAAACTCGACGCGTAACGTCGCGTACGCTATCCAGACGTGTAAAGCCAGCCGAAACGAGAAAAAAGGCTAAAATGCAAAACACGCCGGTCCGTTAATAGCTACGTTGAACTCGACGCGTTTAATTACGACTGGAACGTGGCGGCAGATGATGCAAATTAATCGCGAATCATCGATCGTCCGCTTGTAATTGACGTCAACAGGAATAGACTCTGTTGATCCAGTTAACAAGAGAATGCCGTTATTTACATTGTTATTCGTGTCGCTTTCAGTTGATATTGTCCTCTATGTACTGCGCAAACGTTCTCCCGACCAAACGGATCAAATCCATCGGCCGGATATTTTCGTCCTCTTAAATCACATTTCAATTATATACGAGTCTCTATTACTACCTCCGAGATCCATAGTCCAACTTCAGCAGCGTGTGCCGACATTTTCATTGCTAATACTCGGAAAAACGTAGCGTTAGACTATTTTAAATGCTTCCGACGTTTAAATGTCACCACGACTCCGTTAATAGCGATTCATCGACAAAATGTACGCTGGTTGAAAAGAAAAAAGGCAAAGTGTTTGAAACGTGAAATTATCGTTTACAGAGCTTCCATTAAGCGATAAAATTGTTCCCGCCTTTTTCAATATCCACCTTAATCGTCTCTGCAGGATTGAAAGAAAAAGAAAGTTTCCATTCCCTCGAAGCACGATTTCCGCTTGAAAGACGAAAGCTTTCGTTTCATCGTGCAAGGCACGAGTCGAACGTTGCGGTGTTTCTTCGCCAATCGCCTTTTTCGTACGTAAGCCGTTCCTTCTCTGCGAGGGCGGTGCCAAAAAGGCACTACGCGACACGTCAGACCGCGAAATGCGCGACCGCTTGCCGAATTCAACCACAGCCACCAACTTGCACGATGCTGCTAAAATTGCAAGTGCTAAAAAAAAGCGTGAAAATGTTTCACCCTTCGAGAGCGCGCTCCTTTGCTTTTACGTTTGCCGTATAAGTGCAAATTCTCGCGTCCGGACGGTTTCCGCGAGGAAAGCTTCGAATCACCAGCAACATCCGCGTATTTGCCCTACACATTTTTCTTCTTCTCGAGCTATGTACATATGTAGCAACATACCATAAGAAAATATCGATCTCCACCTGTTAATAGATATAGATACGGGGCACGATACAAATTAATCGTCATCATGTACTTGTCATAGCTAAGCAAAGAAATATTCCGAAGCCGAAAGAATAGAATTTTGGAAAATTCGAGTCATCTTAGATCTTTATCCAAACTAAACAAGAAAAAGAAAGTTTCCATTCCCTCGAAGCACGATTTCCGCTTGAAAGACGAAAGCTTTCGTTTCATCGTGCAAGGCACGAGTCGAACGTTGCGGTGTTTCTTCGCCAATCGCCTTTTTCGTACGTAAGCCGTTCCTTCTCTGCGAGGGCGGTGCCAAAAAGGCACTACGCGACACGTCAGACCGCGAAATGCGCGACCGCTTGCCGAATTCAACCACAGCCACCAACTTGCACGATGCTGCTAAAATTGCAAGTGCTAAAAAAAAGCGTGAAAATGTTTCACCCTTCGAGAGCGCGCTCCTTTGCTTTTACGTTTGCCGTATAAGTGCAAATTCTCGCGTCCGGACGGTTTCCGCGAGGAAAGCTTCGAATCACCAGCAACATCCGCGTATTTGCCCTACACATTTTTCTTCTTCTCGAGCTATGTACATATGTAGCAACATACCATAAGAAAATATCGATCTCCACCTGTTAATAGATATAGATACGGGGCACGATACAAATTAATCGTCATCATGTACTTGTCATAGCTAAGCAAAGAAATATTCCGAAGCCGAAAGAATAGAATTTTGGAAAATTCGAGTCATCTTAGATCTTTATCCAAACTAAACATAGAAAACAAACTAAAAATATACAAAACGATCGTAAAACCAATTTGGGCGTACGGAATACCACTTTGGGGAACAGCAGCAATGAGCCATATAAGCAAAATAGAGGCAATCCAAGCTAAAATTCTTAGATCAATTGTAAACGCCCCATGGTACGTTAGAAACGAGGACATACGGAAAGACCTTGGAATACCAACGGTCAAGGAAGAGATTAGCAGATTCGCAAGAAGGTACAGAGGAAGAATAGCAACGCACCCGAACCGGCTGGCAGCGGAAACGTTCAACACAACCATAGAAAGAAGACTAAAAAGGAAACACTCAGCAAATCTCACAAAGGATATATCTTAACAAACACGAAGATGGCACCCCATTGGGGGTAGCCACCCACATGATAATCAAACAGATAACAAATTCTACCAAATGTCCAAATTGGACAAATTGTGAATGTGAAATTTCAAATAAAAAATCTTAGATCTTTAAACGATAGATATTACACCTATCTCTATATATTTGTCGGGTTTGTCGGGTTGGCGCTGGTTCTTGGGGCGTATTGTGTGTCTTCATTCAAAGAGGTTTATATTTACAATGATATATACAAGAGTTGTTTAAACAAGGTTTAACTATATAACGTTATAAGACACTCTTAAAGTAAACAATGTTCTTAGGTTCAAACGAGTCCACGATCAACGGGATAACTCTTTGTTCAATTGGATACGTGTTAAACTCAAAATAACGTTTGTTATGACGTACGGTATCATTCAGACTGACAGACTGACGTTGTGTATAAACTCTCCAAGATGACTATAAGAATAAAAGACTGACACGTTCACACTTGTCAATTGCGTATTGATCAGGGTTATCAACAAAATTCCAGGAGCCGTCACTAGGCAGACTCGCGTAGAGCCGTTATTGCTCCCGTCTCGGGACTTGTTTGTCAATACAACGTGTGTCCCTCAACATTGGTACTTCTACTGTGAAGTAAAACGTTCATCCCGTGACCGTGGCTACGTTCGGTGACCAGTTGTGTCACCTTGACCCTAAGCCCACTGTTATAATACTATGATGAACAGCTAAGACAAACAGTTTAGCCCAAAGTATTGGGAATCTTCCCAAAATTCCAAAGGAAAGGCCCGTTATCCCTACATCTCCGACATATTTATGTTTTCGTGTCTTTCAGCTGCATGGAAAATTTCATTCAACTATAGCTGTCCGTGCAAAAGTTGTAGACCAGTTACAGCAGAATCGTTGCAGTGCTCGCCAAGCGATATATTAGTCGCGTTATATCCTGCGCATTAATTATCCTCAAACTGAAGCCTTCTGCAAATGGAACTTTCCAACTCAAACTCGATCCTTGTTCGTGTCTTCGTGAAACTTTAAACACCGGCCATGAAACCTGTATACGCGTATACTTGGGTCGCGTGCCACCCACCTAAAATGTACGTATACGTATATTTTAAGAATGCGAACCGATTTATGAATCGAAAAATTCGAATCTGCCACGAAACCGAGCTTCCACACTTTCTATATCATAGACAAAGAATCGAAACTTTAAAGTTCGTAGAATATTTCATACCGTCTCATTGAAACGAACCATTGAAATTTTCACGTCTTT